ATGACTCCCTCTCCGCTCATCGCTCTGCTCACTTCTCATCTAATGTGCCGGAGTCATCCATTCCATTAACCCTCCTCCTTCTTGCCTTCCCAAGTTAGAATGAGGCAGATCCCCAACCCCCCATCCCCTCTTTCTCTCTCCCCCCACCTCTCTGTAAAAGGCAGGCCAGCAGGGGCCGCGGCGGTGATGACGGCAAGGGGCATTTTTCATGCTCTGAGCCGCTCTCCCGAGGGCCTTTGTTGTCCCCACCGGCTCCCAACTTTGCTGGGTAAGCTGAGGATTTCACACGTTTCATCAACATTCAAATTAGATCGGCACTTTTTGAACATTTCATATCATTTGGCAGAGTTGTGCACAGACACCGACATGCATACAAGCATTAGAAAACAGGTTGCAGCGAGAAAGGGCGCCCAGAAGAGAGAGAGGGCAGTCAACTTTTATGAGAGAGCGAGCACAGGATTAGAGCTGTATCGCAAATAACTCCCAGCCCACTCCACACACTGCAGACTGTGGTTTCAGTGAGTGTTGACTACACATTTGGCCTGCAGTTGTCCAACCTTTTGTGCAGGTCGTGGCACACATTCAGCCTTTGTGCAACAAGCACAACAATTGGTGTGCCCTGTCTGTACTGGTGTTAGGGGCACTGCTGAAGCGGAGGTCAGTCACCGAGGCATCATAATGCCTTGGGCTGGGCACAACAAGAATGAGGGCAATCCACTTAAAGTGAACCACTAACCCCCTCCCACCACCACCACCTCCCATATCCCCTCCAGGCCACCACGAGCATCACACTTCTGAATAGAAAACAGGAAATTGGTCCTCTGTAGCACTTCAAATCCTGAAGTGTGAGAGAGAAGGCACCAAGAGGGAGTGGGGAAAATACTTAGATGTCTAAAAGAAAGAGATGAAATGCTTTCAACCAGAAAAGCAGACAGCATGGTCATAATCAAAAACTTAAAAGAGATGCAGAACATGCTTACTTCTCCCCCCATTTTATCAGCACATCTCTAGTTTTTGAGAGCTCTGATTTAAGACCACGAGATGGAAAACCTGGATTCAGGAAATGCAGACATGGATAAATGAGTGTAGCTTGAGTTGTAATTGCATCAGTAATGCCAGTTTCTGAGTGAGCTTTGGCAGAGCAGAGAGATTATTCTTCCAGCTTCCTGCTTCCTTGCCTTTTGACTCTCCCTCTGCGCTTTCTTGCAAGAGCTCATCTCCTTTCTGTAACTTCCTTATAATATACTTCGCCTGCTTCTCACAGTTTAGTTAATTAGTCAGCAGCTGCAGGTAAAATATGAGTATAGAAAGATGTCATCCAGGAACGTGTATGCAAAAGCAAAAGCAAGGGATGCATTGCAGGGAGCACTGTCAAAATGAGCTAAACATTAAATTTGCAATTAATTTCCAATCTGTGTAATTGATTACTATAATTAACACAGCCGTCAACCACCGCGTAGCTTTGAGAGTGAAGTTATTGGAACTAGCCGAGGTGGAACTAACCAATGGCAATCAACTAAAGCGCTGGGCTGTAAACATCTGAAGTTTTTCACTTTCGGGAGTCTATGGGGACTGGGACTTGCTTCAACTCTTTTGGCTTCACTTTTCAGCCCTGGAGGTTGATAGCTTGGTAGCAACGTGTCGGGACCAGTCCAGACAATATACCATACGGGTATGATGACTCTGCTGACAGGCGCACATAATTTCAAATCAGGATAATGATTATCAAGTCTCAGTCAAGGTTTGGTTACAGTTTGTTTTCTCTGCAATGGTTTCTCTGTGATTAATCATGGTTAATGTGTGAATAAACACTTTTTTTGTAATTGATAATCAACAAAACTTATAAATTTGCCAACAAAACTTCAGGAGGAATTTGACCATATTTTTTTCCCTTGTTTTTCTCATTTTCTTGCTCTCTTTGTTGTTCCTTGTTTCTGTGCTTTATTCTCTCTTCTTCTTGTCCTTTTTTTTCTCTAAATAGAATTAGCCAGTATCCGTCTGAATGCACTAAAACATCTCCCCGTCTCTGACATCTAATGGAGGCCATTCCAAGTCTTGGATGACTGATATTGAGATATCCTTCCTCCAGGGTAACATCCATAGCAATTTTCTCTTGATTTGCTGAGTGATGGACTTGGTGCAAAGCAACATAGACCTAATGATCGTTGAGGAGATGGCTCTCTAACTCAAGGCTGTAGAGTGTGGACAATTACAAGCTATACAATAAGCTACGTCGCTTACCTCCTCTCTCTCTCTCTTTCTCGTTCTCTTCCTCTGCTGAAGTATTTCCAGAATGCCGCCGGCCACGATGGATTTATGAGTCGGCCATACTTTGGTAAACACCGATGGTGGGCAGCTTTGTCCTCCCCCCTCTGTGATATAGTGAAGGTCCCCCATAAAAAATGGGAAAACCAGGTTACGGCCACCATAGAGCTGGGCTGAACAATAAAAGGCTTTATGGGCAGATATATGCCTGTACCATAAATGCTGGAATCTGCTGTCGGAAGGACATTAAAGGGATAATGACTGGGGGGGGCTAAGAGGGTCCTTTTAGAAAAGACACTCCTTCTCTCACACACACACACACACACACACACACACACACACACACACACACACACACACACACACACA